GGGGGAGGGGGCATCAGTTTCAGCACTTGATACGTTGAAGCAGCAGTCCATGGGCTTAAAATAAAGATGACCATGTCTATTATGAGAACCGGAGGCTATTAATAGATTTGACAGAGAAGTGAGGTCATGCAGGCTGTCTCGAAAGTTCTGTGCATTTGACCCTGTCTCTAATATGTTGGCACCAAAAGCCAAGTCAAAACCGTAATGTCCTTTTTTTAAGTAAGTGTTTTACAACGCTTGCAACACAATAAAGTCATACAAGTGCCGAAGATTAGAGGTGTTAGTTGTTCCCGCATCCGATCCAGACATTGGGGATTGCTTTGTTAGTGAGACAACTTCCTGGGCCTTCGGCATCTTGTGGTAGGGTGGCCAGTTCCTTTCCACGCCGCCTTTACTTCCCCAGTTCGAAGTCAGGCATCCAGGTACAAGAGAGCAACAAACACAAAAAAGGAGGGGAGATAAGGATGATAGATGTTTGATATGAAAGAATTTAAGGAGCAAACCACACCAGAGCACCCGCCAACCACCCACCCGTAATGTCCTTCAGCACCCCTGTATATTTCAGTCGACAGTACAGCACTACAAAATAATGGCTCAATACAGCTTTTTGCACAAATAAAAACGATCACAAATTCAAAGAAAAGATCACATAATCTAAAGAAAAGTGCGCGTGGACAGAGCATTACTTTTAAAACATCCTATAAATGAAATGTTTACGGTAAATCACATCACTGCAGTCCACTTCACAAACCAAGGCTATGCACATTCGATTCACAATATCATCAATATTCAACCTACCATTTTCACGCACGTTGAAGAAATAGAAACAGGTAAAGGTTGTAGGTCTGTCTTTCTAATCTGTCCAAACGTAAGTCACTCAAACTCAAGCGATGAATTTCGATGATGACGTTTGGAGCTCAATGGCGGGCCGGGGTCTGTGGATGGAGAGAGATGGTCGTTTTGTCTCACTCGTCCTTAATGTGGTGGTGGTGAGCGCTCTACGACTGCAGTGGCTGCTCACTGGGGGAGGGGAGTGAATATATCAGTGGAGGTTTGCGGCGGGGGTGGAGGGGGGGGGTGGGGGGGGGGGGGTCGCGGGTGGATGTAGCGACCAACATAGCCAGGGAGAAGAAGAATAATGTATTCGTAATCTGTTACTTTCGTTTGATAATGTCAGAAAACTGACTAAAAGTGATTGGTGTTTTGTTTTGTGGGTCGGATGGCGGGAGGGCGCCACTGGTAGGTCTCACTTCTTTACTTTCCCTCTGTTGTTTGCCTGTCTGATGTATCTGTCAGATAAATGTCTTATTGATTGGGGTTTTTTTATTTCTCCCCATCTTTAAATCATCCTATACCCATAGCATCACTCATCTTCTTTCTCAAAGGGTTACTAGATCTAGAGTAGTTCTCAAACCGTACTATAAGTATAATTTCCTTGATGAATGGAGTCCCCTTTGAAAGCAAATTTCTAATTGCAGAGAGAGGGGGGGGGGGT